AAAGCTGTAGTGACCAGCAGCCACAGAGAGCAAACAAACTCCAGCAAGTGATTCTCACTGGTAGAGAAGAATGTGTTGTGTTGATATTATTCCATGGGTTATAGGGCACTTTAAAAATAAACCACAAAAGCATCTCTTAAATAATGGTTACCAGAGGAGGAAGAAGAGGGGAAAAGAGTGAATTGGAAAGGGGAAATGGCACCAGAGCTTTGATGATGGCTGTGGTGAAGCTTTAACACATAGTGACGTATGAAGCTGTACTACTGAAATGTATATAGTATTGTAAACCAATGGTAAATAAATTTAAAAATGTATTTAAATAAATAAATAAGAAAAAATTACTTACATGAGTATTGAAGACACTCTAAAAGATACTGAATCCCACAGCCATCCCCAAAAGAATCCATGTGCACCAAGGACTTGTCCTAAGAGTGACTCTGCTTTTTGACAAATTATCTAGTTCTCAAGGTAAACTAAACCTAGGTTTTTATTATGTTGGTGAACAAAATAACTGTAATGATGCCCCAATACCAGTCTACAGGATGGAAAAGCCCCGCCCAAGGGTACCATAGAGTTGCAGCTTTTCTGACTGTGAGCAGGGTTCACAGAAAGATTTTTTGTAAAACATATCAAGTGAACTTGCAGTTTTTAAAACTCAAGTCTCATTCAGAGCCTCCAGGCTTTAGCTAAATTTAGGCCAAACTTTGGTGGGGTGGTTTTGTTTTTGGAAGGTCCCATGTTCCACAAAAATGTTCCCAGGAACCTCTGCAAATCAAGGCCCTGTGATTTGCACTCAAAAAATATATATTTCAAGCTTTGGCAGATCTGCGACCATGAAAGTCAAGAAAGGAATAATAAACTGAAGCAGAACAGGTAGTAACTTTTACCATATTTAATGACATAGATCTGTCCAAAGTTAATATGAGCTCCAATAAATCACAAAATTCTTTGCATTATTTTTTCCTCCAAAAGCAAAATATCCCAACTTCAATCCAGCATCACTTGTCAAAACTGAAGTAGTTCCTTGAGAAATAATAAGGTAAAAAGGAATAATTTAAACAGTTAAGCAAATCAGGTTTAAAAAGTTTAAGAGGCCCTCCACGGTGGCGCAGTAGGTTAAAGCACAGCACTAAGAAGCTAACGCCACTTTAGCATTTTGATCCCTGCCCCGGGAGATGACCAGATGGCCCGCAGACCTCTCCTGACCCGCCTGCTGCTCCCTGCAGCAGTGTACTTTGTCAGTTGGCCTGTTCTGCCCCCCACTCTGTCTCTGGTGAATCCTCTCACCCCCCTGCACCTCTGGCCTATACCCCAGTTCTCTATGCATAAATGTCTCAAAAAAAAAAAAAAAGTTTAAGAGAAAACAGATTTGTTTGTAAGAACAAAAATTATTTTACATAAGAATGGGCATTTAAGAGCTTATCTTAAATAAAAATAAAGAATTAAGTTCAAACCATTTAAGAAAACTTAATAGTGAATGCATACATTGGAATAATAAGTGTCATGGAATACCAATTCATTAGACTTGATTTCATTCAACTGCCTGTATTCTTTGTAAGTGGCCCTCTTCTAAGGATTGTATCATCATGTTAATATTATAATGTGTTTCAAATTTTTTGATGATTACTTGGATGTCAAAATAACAAAACTGTAATTATAGTTTCAGTGACAAGAACACATAAACAAGGTATAACAAGGATGTTGCCCACCCTTCAAAAGTGGAATGATTGTTGTAGTATGTGCCTTTATTTGGCTGAAATTCTGAAAAAAGGAACAAGTGAATTTTGTTTTCTCTTTGGTTTTGGATTTTTTTCCTGCCTTTATTTTTAATTTGTTTCCCTAATTTACTAAAGTGAACTCATTCCTGTGGTCATGACAAAAGAAGAAAACTTGACTTTCACTGAATCATGTAGAAACTAAAATGTTTGCAGGGTATAGTAGAGAAAATGCTGTGATTAGAGAAAGAATGGAAGCCAAAGTTTTCATTTCAGGCCCCTTTCTTCCAAGTCTACACCCATGACAGCAGCTGTGCCTCTAATCTTGCTTCATCCCATCCCATCCTCTCCGGACTCCCTAAGGCTGTGTGTGTAGTTCATAAAGGCACCCTTCTAACTAATTTAAAACCCTACTTGGGCAACTATACTTGCAGAGCTTATTTATACAGAGTAATTCTTTCAGAAAAAAATATTTGAAGAAGGTTTTGTTCCTCAAATGTATTAAGCATTGTTGGGGAAAAGGAAGGATAAGTGATGAAGGAATGGCTGAACCACAGTCCAAAGAAATTAGTCTCTTTACAACTGTTGCATGAAATTCAACCTTTGAAACAAGATCTGAATTGGCCAGATGTAATGCTTCACATATGTCAACTCAAACATTAAAGAAAATAACAAATACAGATTTGCAAAAAAAAAAATTGAGTTGACCATCTTTTTCTGGAGCATTTATCAGGTTTTTCCTCCAAACAGCAGCTTCCCCTAGTGCATGTAAAATGTAAGTTGATTCAGAAACAGGAAGGAAGGGAGGGAAGAAGGGAAAGAATGAGAAAGGAGAGAAGAAAAGGGAGTAAGATTTTTCAAGAACACATCCATAGTCAAAAAATTAAGAACACCTGAAAAGTCAACCTTTTGTTAGAATTCTAAGATGTACTTTGCAAATGAAAAAAGCCTGTGGTACCCAACTACTGTTATTTTCAATTTCAAGCTCAAAACAAACACACAAATGAACTAAAACATAATTTCCAGCTTTACAAGAAATATGAGGCCCAGAGAGCAAACATTTTAATCAATGACTCTTACCTGGGTACAAAACACTGAGTATAGGGTTTAATTTAAAGAGAGTTAAATACCAGCGATTCAATACACATGACAATAACGCTGTTCACTTCTTTAAGGATGCGTCAGTTGACTCAGTGACTGAGTTCTCCATGATGCTCCTCCAACTTTCAGCTTCCCCTGTGAAATGTGAAATTTTGCATATTGCATGCAGTACTGAGACAGAGCAAAACTACCAACACAACCTAGTGCTGATTTTGCACTGCCCTAATGGGCCTGTAGCTCTACCTTGGGTCACATGGTTTCTGAACCCCTTTTCCTTCATCCTCTAACCAGAATGAGATGACTTAGGTTAGTGACTATATGATCTTGGGCTAGTTATTAGGCCCCTGCTTATATCAGAATGATGATAAATCCACCACTAGTGTTTTCAGGAGTTAATACAGTCCTTGGCACATACTGAATGTGCCAGAAACTGCTAGATGGTATTGAGTTCAAATGTGAAACATGCCCCCACCAAGACCACTCTATGGAACAATTCGTTTTTAGCATGGAAGGAGTCTGCTTAGGATTAGGAGTATTCAAATCCCCATGCTCAAGGAACTGGCAGCCTACTGCAGGGATCCTCAATCCTAAATGGACTAAAGAACCAGAATCTAGTAAAGAACTTATATAAAAACACCAGTGTTGGAATCTACACACAGAGATTCCAGTTTAAATTGATCTGGAGGGAGACTGAAGAAGGATTATTTTTCAAACCATCCCAGTAATTCTAAAGCTCAAAAATCCATGACCTTTTTATGGTAAGGACCTACTTTTTCATTTCTCTACAATTCTTAAGGCTGCTAAGAAACTAGGTGAAGGAAAGCTGGTAGTTGGTGAATGAGCAGAAGGGAAAAAAGAAGGGACAGACTTGGTGTTCCGGAAGAGAATTAGAAGACATATGGTGGAAACCCGCAGGGTCTTTGCCAAACAGCCCTCCTTGGGAACTGTCTGCTGACTGAAGAGGCTGTCTCTCACTGTGCCATTTTAGTTTGAACTTGCTAGTTTGGATCTTCCCTGGATACACAGAGCTATTTAGTATCTTCCCAATTAATGCCTTGTTTTCTTACAGCCATGAAAACCTTCACTAACACATTGTTCCATGACCTCTGCCTCATCAGGAATCCATGACAAAGGGGATAAAGCAGAGTGTGGTATGGAGAGTTTGCTGAGAAGGCCAACAAGCATTTTCCAAACCATCAGGTGGGAACTTGTGTTAAACAGGAAACCCACTTTCGAAAACAATATCCTAACTTTTCCCCCTGCCTTCTCTCTATCCTTTCACATCAGTGTCCACATATTGGCTAGTTTAAGGTTTTATATAACCTGATGTTACCTTGTTGAAATTCAATGCAATTTGACACTTGGTAATTATGTGGGCCCTATTCCCTAAGTGGTAATTACGTGGGCTATGTTCCGTATAACCACCTAATAAATGCCTCTATGACTGCTCTGGCAACCAGAGATTAAGTGGCCCAGAATCTGTCCTTTAATCTACCAAGCAGAACGTTCTAAGGTAGAAGCCTGCAAAATAGGCGACTATAATGCTGTCCTCCACTTTCCTCTCTGCTGAAAGCAGTCAGACAAGGGAATTTTCCCCTAAAGCATAAATTACCCTTGAGCCAGACTTTCAGGAGCCTAATTATAATGGAAACCTATTATGTCATTCAACACTCACTTATTGTTTAAAATATACAATGATTTTGAATTTGCTAGAATGAAGGACCACATAATACAACAGCATAGGATCCTTGTGAAAACTTTAATGTCCCCAAACTGTGTTTACAAATAAATTGTGTTATACTTTCTGCAAGACAGTGACATGGAAAGTCATGAGACCTGCAGGAGAAACAGAAGTGACCCAAGCAGGATCAGGAAGTATTCCAGATAGAGAGCAACATGTGCAAAGGCCAATGGCAAGAAAAGTGTTTATGTTCAAGGACCTGAAAGCAGGGCCATTAGAAGTGGGGGGGGGGGAGAAAGAGAGGGGGAGGAAGGGAGAGAGAGAGAGAAAATACAAGAGAAGGCAAGATGACTGGCAGACCACATGTATACTGTGCAAAGAAAGAACATGGTTCTTAGGTCTCCTCTTCTTACATTCTCTAGTTTCTTAATAAATATCAACAGGAAGAAACTAAAATCATTTTAGCAAATCAAGAAAAAAAGAAGCATTTAAGCTGCTTACTTACATAAGCAACTGCTTAAAAATATCTGTCTTCATGCACTGGGTATTTCTTCACAGGGTATCTTGGTCTTTCAAAGATATCATTTACTTCATAGATAGAATCTTCCTACAAGAAAATAAATCCAGCAATTCCATTATTCAAAATGTAATATATATCAGTGATAACCAGGTGTATAGTTCTGCATGAAATAGATCTGCATTCCACATGTCATAAATGTGGGGTTCACTATCTTCCTTTCTTCCTCTTTCTTCTTCTCCTGCTCCCTCCCATTTCTTTTCTCCCACCTATTCCCTACCTTCTGCTTTCTCCTTCCTTCCTTTCTTCCTCCTGCTCTCCTTTTTCATCTCCTGTTTTTACATTTTCAAGGGATTCACTTACTTGAAAGACTGAAAATTAACAAAGTACCCAGTGACTTGTTGGAGAGAAAATAGTATTAGGGTAACCAATATTCAATTATGAGTGTCATCTTATAAATCTAACTATGCCAGTATTTTAATAAATCAAAATGACCCATCCAACAATATGATATAGCTAAACACACAACTGGTGCACTATTAAACTTTCATTTGAATTATTTTAAGATGGTGACAGGTTACTTAGCTAAAGGCTATATACCTGTGGTGACACAGTGCTAGGAATATCTACCTTTGGATCAGAAACACCCTCCACACCCTATAAAATTCAAACAGCTACAAACACCTTATTAACATTTAAGAAAACCTTCCTCCATGTTGTGGCCTTATATTGACCAAATATACAACTGGGTTGAGATTCCTGTGGACAATTGGAAGGGGTCAAGTTAAATGATCTTATCTTGGTCCTTTGAAAGGACCATGCTCCCCCCCCAACACACACACTCACTTCAGACCTCCCAATTATCTGTACTCCTGATGGAAGCTCCACTGTCTCTTCCTTGGGGATACCTGCCTTGACTCTCAATGAATTCAGCCACTCCCTTTCACACACTCTTTGGTCATCATATATCCTCCTTGGTGAAGGTTACAAATTTATACTTACTGATTGTTTCCCCCACTAGACTATTAAAACCCAGTTCTCATATAGTTCTGTCAGCAAATATCTAGTTTTAGCCGAAGTCCTAACCTTGTTTAGGTATTTCTGAGCTCTGTGGGATGTTAGAAGACTGCATACCCTTTCATGGATCTTCTTCCATGTAGAATGAGAACTGGGGTGGAACCTGCTTAACAGAGTAAACAGGGTGAGTATTATGCAGCCACTAAAAAGAACACTGAGAATATTTATCAATAAGGTACATTATTTATAACCTAATAGTAAGAAAAAAGTAGCAACATGCAAAGTAGTGTGTATAGGTTTAGTAAAGCCACTGCAACCACACTATACATGCTACCAAGATGTTAAGAATATTTTGTGTTTGGGTGTGGGGCTGTGAATGATCCCATTCCTCTCTGTACTTCATGGTATTTGTCAGACAGTTCTCTAAACAACAAAATCCTGCTTTGATATTTATAATTTTTTATGATTTTAAGCAAAAATAAAATTAATTCAAAAGCTAATTCCAACTCTTTATCATCAAAAGGATTTTATGTTATAGGTCACCCAGACCCAAACTTAACCACAGGGTTTACAGTATCTTTCAAATTTCTCAAGCATGAGGAATTTTCTCCCTTCCATAGTCCTCTGCCAATACTGCTGCTCTGCCTAGAATGTGGCCGTCATAACCCCCATCATCATTCACGTTAACTACTACCCACTCTTCATAGCTCAGCTGATTGCTGACTTCTCAGGGAAGATCTCGTGAGTTCTTCCTGTAGAGGAATACAGCACCCCTACTGTATGCACTGGTATCCAACTATTTCCCCATTCATAGCAATGCCGCTAGTGGACATTTAGCAAAAAGTGAGGCAATATCTGTCTCTACCTCTAGTTTGAGACCATTTAAGTTCAGGCCAGGGTCTCACAGGTATTCAACACCAAAGTAGCTCTGTAATATCTCTTGACTAGTTTAATTCATTCATTCATGTTCAAGAAGAAAGTGGGTACCAGTTCCTAAATTCTGGGCAGACTTACTGATTTGATCATGAAAAGTACAGATATTGTTTTCTAACAGTGACTAAAGAATTTTAGAATTTTGATAAATGAATTCACTAGGATAAAAATCAGAAACGAAGGAACCTCTGAGAGTCAATCAAGTTGTGAATGTAGCTACCATGCTAATGAGCTCCTGTAAGATTACCCCTTTGCTTAGTTGGGGGTACACATCCAGACCACCCATCCTGGTTCTCTTAACAAGTACATCCTGCTGCTTCCAGAGAGCCAAAACCAAGAGTATAGTGAGATCTACACAAATCTATTAACAATCCAGAAACAACTCCAGCAAATGAAAGCACCACCTAAGGCACTACCATGTTTAAGGAAAGACCATGTACTTCATTTCTATACTCCTTTAAGAATTTTCATGGAGAAGGAGCAGAAATGCTTTGAAGCTGTAAAATACACATTTAAAAAATTGTCACCAACTGGATACTAAATGCTTTTCACAGACCTTGAGTAACCAGTGTCAAGGATCTCCTTCCTTCAAAACAACTATCTTAAAAATATTATTTTTATGATGCTACTTCCCTACAGTATAAATATCTAGTTGCCCTGGTTTACACAAAACAAAGGGGGTCTCACAAAATGCAAATTTCCAGGGCTAAAACCAGGACAGCTCTGAACAAATCAGATGACCTTTTGATGACCATGTTGTTCTAGTTGCTGTTGATTGTGGCCTTATTTATAAACCCATAGTCCAACTAGGTCAAAAGTTGTCAGTTTAGAGTGACCAGGCACAGAGAATTTGCTTACTCATCACAGAGAAAGCTCTGATGCAGCCAGAGACCTTATCCTACAGTCAACTGTAATAATACTGTGACTAAATTTGCGAAAGCTCACTTATGCCTTCCAACAGAGACAGACTCCTTAGTTTAGCTTCCATAGTCTCCCTCAGACCCTTCAGTCTTGGCACCCACTGTTTTCCCAAACTTGTCTAACTGCTAGACTTGACCTCCATTATTATATCATAATCCTTCCTCCCATTAATCTTACCACAATCCACGACCTTACCACAATCTTTTCCAACTACTCTATCATGACAAGGGCCTTCTCAGAGTCCACATGAAAATTCAATGTTCTCTATGAAACATTCAGATGTGCCTCCTTCTACCCTTATTTTCTGATAGCATTTTCAGAGCTCTGTTTTTTTTGTTTTTTGTTTTTTTTTAGCCTCTGCTATGTTGCAAGTCCTGATCAGGAGAAATGCCTTAAATGTTAGTATTTCATTTCCATTTCTAGCAGGTTGGTTATTAATCCTGTTTTCCCTCTGATGTACTCTTCTAACCACAAAGATTCCACACCCCCATGCATCCAGTTCCACCCCCATTGATACTGAGTCAATAATGTGAGGCAATTCTCTAGTGATAGAGAGTCACTGACCTGTTGCATAAGGACACTCATGAAAGGCTTGTTTAATTAAATGTGTAAACCACCTAGCAAATTTATTTAAAGATAAATGAGGCCTTCCTATAGCTCCTTATTCTAGCTCACCTAAATCTGAATTATTTTTCTCTTAAGTACATATCATTTACCCATCTCCTATTTAGTGACATGTCTGCCTCGTCCTGTAGCAAGTACCTGGAAAGTAGGGATATATCATGATCACTGTACATCTCACATAATAACTGCTCAAGAAATGTAAACTAAATTCACCACCACCACCACCACCATCCCCCAGAAACCTTGCTATGCTAATTATAAGGCATTTGGGTGATGTATAAAAACAAGGTTCATGGACAAAATCCCTGGGCTTTAGAACAGAGAAATATTTTTAGAACAGAGAAATAATTTATGTCTATAGAGTTTTAGAACAGAGAAATATTTTATGTCTGTAGAGGGTGAATCTTAGATCATCACACTCATTTTACAGATGAGAAGTCAAGGTCTAAAAGTAGTAGTGTGAGATCACATAGCACTTTAGAAACAGATGAACTCTAGAGCACTTCTGACCACCACAAGCTGGAAGATTTTTTCCCCTTGTCCAGTTAAAAAAAAATCCATTCTCTATTAGTCTTTATGTCTGGGATAATCCTCCCTGCTTTCCTAACCTGCTGAGATCCAGGTGAGTACAAAGAAGATATAGTGGGGCCCACCCTGGTGGTACAAAGGGTTGGGGTACAGCACAGTGAAGTTGTCACAGCCATTGCAACACAAGTTAGATCCCTGGCCTGTTGGGGTGACCCACATGATATGGCAGACTTCTTCTGGCCTGCTAGCTGTTCCCCTCAGCAGTGTATTTCAGTCAATTGCCTTTTCTGCTCCCTACTCTGTCTCTGGTGAACCCTCTCATCCCCAGTATCTCAGGCCTGTACCCCAATTCTGAATGTATAAATAAATAAATCCTAAAAAAAAAAAAAAGAGAGAGAGGATACACTGGATGGGATGGAGGCCAAGCACAAAGATGTATAAAGGTGTCCTGCCCTCCTATCTCTGGGTACCAAAAGCAGCTGCTTTTAAGTCTATATTATATTATTTTCTTTCAAAAAAGTAACTAATCCAGACCTTACTACTCTTAAACAGATTTTAATAAAATACATAGTTTTATTTCCTTAAGTCATGATTTAAGATTTTAATATAGAGGTGTTCTGTCATTTCCAATAAACACTAAGAATACACTGCACTTTATTATTCTGCCTCAAATTTAATTTAATTCGTATTAGAATTTCAGGGCACTTTTGTCTGGGATGTATTTATTGTAAGTTTTTTAATGAGCAATCATGCTATTTTGTTACAGGGATTTCTCTTCTTCTTATCCCTAACAATGCACAGAAAGGCACATAAGCAAAATCTTCATTCAAAACAGATAATATAAAAATATTATCTTCACTACCACTTCTCTGGGGTTGACGTGACCAATAGTCCCAGTTTGTCTGGGCCTAAGAATACTAGACTGTTAGGATTAAAATCTGAAGAATCCTGGGCAAACTAAAGGACTTCTCACCTTACTAGAGAGTGGTTTAGAAAATAAAGATCTGGCTCTCCATCTCTGTGCTGACCTACAGATCTATGCAATCATATTTTATTTTTGGTTTTGTTTCTTTTATGACAATATAAACAACCAAGAAACCATGTCTAGAAAAAAGAGAAACTACACCCACATGTTAACAATGTTTGACTTTGGGTGGCAGGACTATGGGTGATTATATTTTATTCCTTTATTTTTTTTTTCTATAACTTCTAAACTTCTAAGGTGAACACTTTCATAGTGGTGAAATGAGAAGCATGAGCGTTTATACTATGAGTTAAAAATATACAACGCCTACCCCATTTCCAACAGAGTATCAGAATATGTCAGAGAAGGGCTCAACTCTTACTTTGGATTTACAGTTTTTCATATCTAGGAGTCACTGGCTAATAATCTTAAGGAAGAAAACTGAGGGAGAAACCTGGCTTTGGTCCCTTGCTGAGCAAAGTCCCTGACCTTATTCCTTGTTTCTTAAAGTGCAGTGCATGGGCCAGCAACATCAACATCACCTGAAAGTTATTAGAAAAGGATTCCAGGTACCACCCAATCCTCCTGAATCAGTATCTGCAATATAACAAGGTCACTCAACACAGACCACAAAGTGCTCTTCAAGCAAGAGAAGGCTGTTTGCTGCTGACCTTTCTCGGAGAAGGGGCTGATCCAGAAGAGGGCTGGGAGACCTGGAGTGTTGGGAGTTGGCAAATGAAGCTTCCTGATGGAAATCGGCTTTCCCTTGGTTACTGTAACTGGGCGAAGGTTTTCCAGACTTACTTGAATCTAAAGTTGATGGTGATTCACTCTTTAAAATAATCCGTTCATCTGGCTCTTTGATAACCTGAGTGACAACGTGCATCATTCCTCAGTGGTAGTTTTTTGTTCGATTAATTTAGAACTGGGGGTGGGGTAGACAGAGAAAAGGCCTGGGCAAGATAACAGAATACCTGCCCAGAGGATCTCCAGCAATAGAAGATGGCTAGAAGCAAGGTCACAGAAAGGTAATGAAACTTCTGCATGTTTGGCACATTTTGGCAAGACAAAATAAACTGATGCTCTGCACTTGATTTGTGAAGATTAGGGATGTTTGGGTTTGGGGGTATAATTTAATAGCAAAATATTTAAATGATATAAGAAGAATAGTATACCCTTTAGGGGGGGCATACATCTATTCTCATGCTATAAGATAGAAATGTGTGCCTTCACCTTGACAAATTAATCAAGTTTGAAGAATGTGTGATTTACCACCTGTATGTATAAAGGTATTTCATTAGAGAAAAAAAACAATGAAACTTCCTACTGACAACATAGGTATTGAGTTTGTTATCTTAATACACCCTCACCCTAAAAATGAAAAGAGCTTAAGTAAAGGGGGATGGTAACTAAAAGTATAAAATGGGGTTTGGGTACCTCTTAAATTCTAGTTTAACTATAGCAATTCCACGATCAACACTACCTGGAAATATGTTTTCCACCATTCATTGGGAAAATCAAAATACTTGACAAAAGAGCTGCAAATAAATCATTGTAAAAATGCTACTTCTAAAATTACCTTTACGTTAGCTGCAAGGCTGTCAAGAGAAGAAGCTACAAGAAAGAGAAACAGATGTTTGGATGACTCATTATACCAGTTACCCCTAAAACTGCAGTTACATTTATTTCACAGCAGTACAAAAATATAACACAATGAATGAATAAGAATTTAATTGTCCCCTTATAAGTTACACTATCACTTTTAAGTCTCCCTTCAGTCACTCAATTCTATGAAGTTTTCTGTCCTCTTGAAGTAATCACACTTATTGAATGACAGCACATGTGGATACAGAAAGGGTAAAGAGGAACTAAAGTGACCAGTAAGTTCAATAACTCTTAAACAGCCTGAAAAATTCATATTTTCCCAGATGCCTAGAGCTTAAAAGAAAGCCATGTAGCTCTACTATAAATTTCAAACTTGTGCCTCTTCTGACAACCTCCCTTTTATTCAGTTTTTATAGAATCCTATTTATGCAGGAAATCTTGAATATACTTTTCCAAGATACACATAAATCTTAAGACAATGAATACATAAGAACTCAAAAACAGTGTGGCAAAAATGTAAATTATTATGATTGCCATAAATTATCATAATAAATGAACAGACCTAGTGCAGAGAAGTGTAAGAGTAACTAGGGAGTAATAATATAAACAGACAAAACCAAGACTAAATTGACTCCAGGTTAAATATATATATATAGAGGGCCCTCCCTGGTGGCGCAGCGGGTTAAAGCACAGCACTGAGAATCAAGAGCTACTTCCGCATGAGTTCGATTCCCGCCTGCCCCGGAGGTGACCACATGGCG